CTAAATAGGGGAGGGGGAGTCTAGCTGAAGCAATTTTTACAGAAGCAGAACAGGCAAAAAGTTAAAAGATAAATGGTTACAGAAACAGTTACAGGAAAATAAACAGTTCCAGGTGCACGGGTTTAAACTATCACAAAGTGATCAATGCAGGGGCTTTGGGTGCCATCAACCGAGCACGTTCCTAGGAGCTGCTAGTACAGCTTGCCTCAGTATCTTATCAGCAAGTGCATTCCTGGATGTGCTTGGAGTCGGCCTGCACTAGTTATGTCCTTAAGGGAGGGGGTTAAGGGGGGCTGCAAGTGAAGGAACCAAAATGAAGTCTGTCCGGCTCTCTCAGCTAAGACAGAGTCAGTCAGGTTAAAACAAGGTAGGGCATCACAACAGAACTGGTTGAGCCAGATTACCAAGCACTGATCTCAGATTTTACAACAGTGATGTTATTATCCCCAGGAGCAATTTGGGGAGGATCAGAATCTTGCAGCCTTCAGCTGCATGGCTCCTAAACCATAATTTCTAATCTTGTAGCTAATTTGTTAGTCCTACAAAGGCAGACTGGTCTCTAGGCAAGAAGGGGTTTTGTTTTGGGAAAGAGCTGTTATCATCTTTTTTTCAAAGTTAAACTATAAAGGGCTGTTACAAAGTTAAATTATAAACTAAGTTCCTCCCAAAATTAGTTCAGCCAATTCCTGGGAATGAGCAAGGACAGCTTAGAGGTTAGAAGCAAGATGGAGTTGGTTAAGTCAGATCTCTTTCACGCTAATCGTTTTCACTGTTAATTTTTGCAAAAGCAGTTTCAATTGGACTGGGAGAGATAAAAGAGGAAGGCAGGAAATGAATGCACAGGGCCATAGTAGGGGTGCAGGCAAGAGAAGAGGGTGGCTGTGGTGGTGCAGAGAAGCGGGTAGTCAGGATTTGCTTCTGATGTACAGCCAGCAGGACCTGTGGGCAGACCAGCTGCAAGCCGTGGGAAGGAAGAAGCACCAATGACACTTGCTGGGTTTAAGATGGAAGAAGACTGGGCAGCCAGGCAAGTTGGTGGGGAAAGCAAGAGTGCTTTTGGCCACACTGCATCTAAGAAGACAAGCTGCAATGCAAGGGCAGAATGCTGAGGAGGCATCCCGGATGGAGGAGTGTAGCGCTCAGAGGAGAGAGAAGAGAAGCAGCTGAAGGGAAATGTGCTGGGAGGAGGGGGAGTGTGTGAGGGTGGGCAGGTGGGTGAGTGAGCACCCTTGCACACATATTGGATTTCATTTTCACATTTTTCCTCTTTCTGCTTTACTAGTGAGTGACCTAGAAACATATACAACTATGTAAAAAACAAAACAAAACTAAACTTCTATATGGTGTAGTGGCATTTCTCCTATGCCATGGTGTTGTTGTGAAGATTAAATAAATTAATACATGTTAAGATGCTTAGAAAAGTGCCTGGCACATATACAGTGCTCATTGCATATTATTTTTATTTCAATTTAAATGGAAAAAGACTAGTTTACCTAGCAAGGGGCTTTTGCATAACTTACTATCCATTTTGAAAAAATGTCAGATGCTCTTACCTTTAATTGAAAATACATTTAATATTAAATATGTGCATGGAAGAAATCATACTAGAAAAGTATGAGAAAAACATCTGATTGGCCTGGCACAGTGGCTCACGCCTGTAATCCCAGCACTTTGGGAGGCTGAGGCAGGTGGATCACGTGTTCAGGAGATCGAGACCATCCTGGCCAACATGGTGACACCCTGTCTCTACTAAAAATACAAAAATTAGCTGGGCATGGTGGCACATGCCTGTTATCTCACCTACTTGGGAGGTTGAAGCAGGAGAATCGCTTGAACCAGGGAGTCAGAGGTTGCAGTGAACCAAGATCGCACCACCGCACTCCAGCCTGGCAACAGAGTGAGACTCCGTCTCAAACAAAACAAAACAAAACAAAAATCTGATTGAATAGTTAGTTGCCTAACCTTGACAAA